CTCCTGGCTTAAGCCTGGAGCTCTGTCCTCTCTGTTTCTCTCTAAACAAAAGCCTCTGCTTTGCTCTCCTAAAAAAAAAAAAGAAAGAAAAAAAAAGAATTTACTGAGTGACTATGCCCCAGGCCCCATTCTAGACAGTGAACAAAATGCTTGCAAATCCTTGTTCTTATGGAACTTACGGTGCATCCAGCACTCGTGTCCATAGCTCTACTGAGATCATCTATCCCTGTCCCCTGGTGGCCTGGGCCATGAGATGAGCTCCCAAAGGCGAGCACAAAACTCCTTCCCTGGGTCTCCCTTACCCACTGGTCCTGTCCAGTCATAAAGCTCCCTGAACACCCTACTCCCTTTCACTCCCAGGCCTTTACACTTGCCATCCCTTGGCCCTGAATATCCTTGTTTTTCTTCTTCCAGTTCATTCTTCCTCTTTGGGCTCTCAGCTTGGGTGACACTTCCTCTAGGAGGCCTCCCCTGAGTCCCAGGGAAGGGTCAGGAGCCCTTCTCATGCTCCTAGGGTAACCTGTGACTAGTTCTATCACTGCACTGACCACACTGTATTATAATGGCCTGCTTACCTGCTCGCTCCCTTTGAGACCAGTGTTCCTGGAAAGCTAGGTCTGTGTCTTTTCACCACTACACCTTCAGTGCTCAAAACAGGCTGCTGAACGAATGAGCATGAAGTCAAGGTAGGACAAGGCAAGCAAAGGGATGGACAGGGCCCGGCTGGGTGCCAGGTGTCCTCCACCCTCCAACATACCCCCGATCTTCTCTGATACCCACCTGCCTCATGAGTTCCGGGTTGTTGAGCATGTGGCTGATCTCAGGGTTCCGCTCCATCAGCTGCTGCATCTGGGGGTTGGCCATGATCATGTGGCGCATCAGATCGGGGTTAGACATCATGTCCTGGACCAGGGGGTTCTCCATGATCTGCGATAGCATCTCAGGATTGGACATCAGCTGCCTCTGCATCTGCTGCTGCAACTCCATGAAGTTGGCAGAGCCCAGGCCCAGGCTGCCCAAGCCTAGGATGCCCCCAAAGCCAGCTGTGGAGAGGAGGCAGGGTCACGATCTGCCCCAAGACCCTGCCCCCACCTGGCCAGAGCTACTGAATTCAGGTCTCCAAGATAAGCCTTGTCTGCTTCTCACATCTCCCTCCAATTGTTCCCATTGCCTAGCCCTGATCCCCTGCTGGCAAAGAGATGTGGACCTACTCGACTAAGACCTCGTGGATGGCAGAGGCTCAGAAGTGGGCACAGGACCAAGCCCAGAGAAGGCAACCAGTAAGGGCCTGTTGAATGAATAAATATCCCCAACTGGCTACTGCTGGACCCACATATTCTCCAAATTCCAATATCCTCACTCATACAGGGGAGTGGACTCCCCCCATCCCCAGTCTCTTCCTCCCTTCCCTCCCTCTCTTAACATTTATCCATGCTCCCCTCTTCTGGGAAGCCCTCACAAACCATGTTTCCCCCCTGCTTGACTCAAGTATCAATATCTGGAACCCTATATCCTAGGATCCTCTGTGCCCATCGGACCAGGAACAGGGGCCATGTTTCTGCCTTCTCGTGGCTCCCCCCCACCAACCAGCCCAAAACAGGACAGTGCCCACCTCCCCAGGGGCTTACAGAGTATGGATGCAGTAGCACTGGGAGATCCCTCCCCAGCCCCTGGGGAAGGGCCCCCCCCACTGCTCCTCCGGCTTCCGCTGCCAGCATCCGAAGTGGCACTGCCAGAGGTGGATGGCTGGGCAGGGGTGGCGGGGGAAGCAGGCGTGGTGGAGGGCGCTGAAGCAGGGTCTGGAGTGGAGGGGGGAGACGCAGTGGCAGCAGCTGGATCTTGAGCCCTGAGGACAGAGAAAGAAAAGTCCTAGTTGAAGTGAACACAAGAGGGAAGACAATGATCTCTGAGTTGGCAGAGCAGCTGCTGTCCTAACCCCAGCCTCCTCCCAAACAGCCCTGAGGTGGGGGTGGGATGATACGCGGGGGCAGCCAGTAAACCAGACAGAGGAGGGAGCAGCTAGTATCATCTGTCTCCAGAGCATTCTGGGAGAGGTAAGTGAAGTTCATTTCCCCTGCATGGGAGACCACAGTGCTGCCTGGCAGTCCATCCTAGAGCCCCCTTCCCGGGCCTTGGCCCAGGCCCTCTCCCTATAGGTGAGGGAGAGCGACACAGCATCAGACAGCGGAAAAAGAGGCCCAGTCAGAGCTAGGCCTGCTCCTCTCCTGAACTTACTTCTGAGGGGTCTTGATGACCAGATGGACAGTGAGCCCGTCCTTGATCCCATGCTGGTTCAGCGTGTCCCCGTCTTTGAGGATCTTGCCTGCGAAGATCAGGACCAGCTGATCCTGCTGAGCCTTAAACCTCCTGGAGATTTCCTCTTTGAACTGTGATCAAGAGGCAGAGGTCACTGGGGAGGCTGGCTGGGCTCCACCCACCAGGGACCCTGCCTCTTCTTCAAGAGCCCCTGCATTCCCTTGCTCCCCACCTCTAGCCGTGGGGGGGTCCCTTCCGCAGACTCCACTCCATCCCTCCAGCTACAATAAGCAGCATCTTTGTTAACCAAGGAGATGGACCAGTAAGACTCCTCTCCCAGTTCTGCCCAGGGTCCCCCTCCCAGAAAGCCCTTGCTATCTGCCACTTCCTCTTCAGTACCTCCCCCATTCCCCTTCCCTGCGAGGATTAGCCTGGGCAGCTCTCTCCATCCCATCGCTTTCAACAGCCTTGGACCCAGGCCCTGTCTGCCTTCAGCCTTCTCTTCTCAGAGCCAAGTTTCTCTCCTATCCTTATTCTCAGCATTTTGGTAACAACCACAACAAATACATCCCAGTTATTTATAACACTATGTACAAGTTAAGAGTCTAAGTCCCATAAAATACACATGAATTACTATCTCCATTTTAAAGATGAAGATCAGAGCATTGGGTAACCGGCCCTGGGCAGACTGGAACTCAGGCCATGACGCCAAAGCCCAGGCTCTTAACCAAACAAACTGCTTCTCAATGCGAGCTGATTTCAAAATTAAATTTGCAGGGAAAAGGATTTAAATTCTGGAATGTAGTCACTGTATGGCGCGGAGCGGTGATGGCACTATAGACTGACTTGGGGAAGAGTTAGAACCCCCGAATCTATCAGCCTTTCCCCAAAAAACAAAACTTACAGTCTAAGTAGAATCAGTACACTTGTTAGGCAAAGGCAGCTTCCAGATCCCTCCCTTTCAACCAGCTGGCCTAAGCCCCGCCTATGTGAAATTCTGGAGCAGCCACAGGGGGGTGGCGAACACCGGCAGTATCCTTCGTTCACTCATTCAACACATTTTTATTGAGCACCTACTGCACCCTACGTAAATCCCAGAGGGGTTGAGAACCAAGTGTAACCACATCGATGGGAAAGAGTAGGAACGAGCTGGTCGGGGGAACTCCTCGCCCCACCGCCCGGGCGTCAGAGACCGCGGGGCGTCCTCGGAGGCACACAGTAGGCGCCGGGAGCTCACCGCCCGCGCCCGCACCTCCGCCCGCTCTCCCGGCTCAGCACCTTGCCCGGCCCCCACTGCTTCGGCGCCTCGAACCCCGAGGCGCACGCTCCGTTCAAACCGAAGGTCCTTCCCCCTTCCCTGTGCAAGGTGTTCCCTCCCCGCTCGCCACCACGCCCCCAACCCAGGCCACAAGGCAACCCCGGCCTTCCTTCCCCAGCTCGCGCCAGACTCCTCCAGATTACCCTCGCAGGACGCCCCCTACTCGTCTCTCCTTCCCTCCGATTCTCCGAGCGCCCGCTGGGCCCCCGCGCTTCTCTCCCCGGCCCTCCCGAATGCCCGACGATAGCCGACTCGCCCCCCCCACCTCTCCGCAGACCCCTCCTCCGCGCTCCCTCCCATCCCACCCCCGCCACTCGTACTACCTCCTTGACCGAAGCTCGATCGCAGATCACGATTTCCTCCTTGTCCTTGGGGGTCTTGACGGTGACCCGAATGGGGGGCCTCGTCTCCGCCCCGCTCGGCTCCGCCATGCCGCCGCCGCCACCCGGCCGCCCGCCAGCCCGCCCCGGCTCCACCTCCTCCCCGCCCGCCCGGCCGGCCGGGCTCGGCTTCGGCGCCTCCAACACTCCCCTCTTCCCTCCCTCCCCAAGGCTTCACCGCCCCCTCCGGACCAGCCGCAGCCACAGCGCCCCGGGCGGACCGGGGGGGCCACTGCAGCGGAGTCCGCCCAAGGCCGAGCCCGGGGTCCCACAGCCCGGACAGGGCCTCCCTAGGCGAGTGCCTTGGTGGGGCTCTGCAGAGGCGGGGGAACGAGCTCCCTGCGAGAGACCACCGCCCATCCCAACCTGCCCAAGCCGCGCAAAGGTTCCCTGCGGCCGAAAGCTGCCCCTTCCTCTCCGCGGGCAACTCCCGCTCCAGGACAAAGGACTTTCTGTGTCGCCGTTTTATCTCAGTTCCCTGTGATAACTGGCCTTTCTGGAGAAGCCCAAATCCTTTCAAGGCCTGAGGCCTCTCCCCACTTGAGAGGTTGAATTTTCCCACTTCTAGATGTCCACCTAAGATCTCATCTCTACAATTGACTCTGTTCCTCGACCGTCGTGGCCTGAATGAAGTCTCTTAAGTCCAGAGACCTGGGTTTTGCCTGCGTGGCCTTTCTGAGCCTTGCTTTCCTCAGTAGTATTTATCTCATCTCACGAAACTGCATAACGTAGAACATTGTTTTGAAAAATAACCAAAGGTGTGCCTGACAAATACAGGGACTTTTTTTTTTTAATTGATGAATCGTGGGCTGCCAACTGGATATGATGACTTATCCCTCCCCGAGAGACTTAAATGTCCTTCCAGACCGCCACTATCATTTCATTCCCGCTCTTTTCCCCCATAACCGCATGGTCTCGGTGAAAAGGTGAACTATAGTTCCCAGGGTGCCTCTCGAGGCCATGAAAAACTTCAATTCCCAGTGATCCCCGCAGTGGGGGCGGTGCTGAGTCAGCGCCACAAAAGACAAGCCAAGAAACTACAACTCCCAGGGTGTTCCGGAGGAGGGCAGCCGGACTACGGGAAGCGGCAGGCGGAGGCCGGCTGGAGGCAACTCTGGGATCTGGGTGTGGAAGCCCAGTGTTAGGAGTCAGAGGCATGCTGCGTCCCAAGGCTTTGACCCAGGTGCTTAGCCAAGCCAACACTGGAGGTGTCCAGAGCACCCTGTGAGTGCGAACCGAGGACCCGAGCGGCGAGCACTGGAGTGGGGCTGCGCGCGGCCCTCCAAGGAAGGGGTGGGGAAGGATCTCCAGAAAGGGAGGAGGTGGAAGAAGGGGCAGTAGCTCCGGAACCTACCTGGAGGGCCCTCTTGAAAAGGGAAACCGACGCGCCGGGTGCTTGGAGCAGGTTCCAGGACACGCTCAACCCAGACGTTTGCTTTCTATACGCCCCAGTGGCGGGAGTTGGGATGGGATCCCAGGCGTTTTAGTCCCCGTCCTGAGGACGTCGATTCCCTTCCCGTCCCTCAATAGGCTGCTGAATAACGAGGGGTCTCTGCTTGCCTACTCCGGTTACGGGGATACGGACGCCCGAGTCACTGCGGCCATCGCCAGTAACATCTGGGCCGCCTACGATCGGAACGGGAACCAAGCGTTTAATGAAGACAATCTCAAATTCATCCTCATGGACTGCATGGTATGGAAAGGGGAGCTACTTCCTCTCTCCCCTCTAGGGGATCCCCTGGGGGCGACCTGGACCCAATGCAGAATGGTTGGAGAGGCAAGGACAGGATCTCCCGAAGATTACTAAGTTGGTCTGCGGCAGCGTTTATAATAGGCAGGACCCTGTTAATCAAGTGGTGGTGAGGAAGGATCCCTGGGCGGGTGGTCTGACTGGGTTTCTGGTCTCAGCTGGCCACTTGCTATTTGTTGAACCTTGGGTATGTCGCCTAACCTCTCTGAGCCTCCTTACCACATCTCTAAGGTGGAAAAAATGATTCCCACCCCCACCAACACACACACAAACGTGCATACTCACAGGATTGTGAAGATCAAATGAAAAAGTAGATATAAACTGTAGAATAATGTGCAAGCACAGACTCAGAAGCATGGCAGTTTCCAGACCCTAGTTCCATCCCTTCAGTTTACAGAGAAAGGAGATGAAGTCCAGAAAGGGGAAGTGGCCATTAGATTTAACTCCTTAGAAACAGAAACTGTCTCACTCATTTTTGTATCTGTTTGGTCAACAAATTTTTAGGTCCTTGCTGTGTTCTCGGGACCAGAAAAAAAGCTGCAAACAGGACAGACAATTGCTGCCGTGATGAAACTTACAGTCTTACATATATATGCCTTAAAATAAAGTAAAATATGTTATGTAGGTTTAAAAAGTAGTGTTAGGTATTGAAAATGCTATGGAGAAAAAGTAAGGAAGTGAGAAGGGAGACATGTAATAGAGACAATCTCACTGAAAAGGTGACATGTCATCAAAGATCTGAAGGAAGTTGGCAAGTCACATGACTGGGGAAGAACATTTCAGACAGAACAGTAAGTGCAAAGGCCCTGAGGCAGAATGATGCCTGGTCAGGGATCAGTAGGTTAATGTGGATAGAGTGGCATGAGAATGGGGGAGGTTAGTAGATGCAGCTAGAGAGGCAAGGAGTGCAGCACCTGGTTTCCAGCACACAGTGGATACCTGGTGAAAGTTGGCTGAACCCAGTTGAAAAGGCCTAGGAGTGAACTCTCTAGAAAGGATTTCCAGTGTAACTCAACTGCCTACTCCTCCACCCCCACCCATTTCCATTCAACTGATGACTCCTACTTGGTGTCTAGCCTAGAGCTGGCTATAGGCGATGGCTTTCAAACATTTTGACTACACCCCAGCCATAAGAAATATAATTCAGAGCCTAGAACACACATAGACCCACTAAAACAAAAGCTTCATGAAGTACTTTCCTTACTACATGCAATGCATATCATTTCTCTTGTTTTTCCTTTAATGCTGCTTAAACTCTTTAATTGATCTAACCCTGGGATTAAACCTGCAATTTGAAGAACGTTACCATGGGAAAAGAGGAGAAATACAAGTTGGGTCACTACTCTCAAGGCACTTACAATGTCTTTGGGGTGAACCCATAGTAATAAAATCACCACCAGGGCAGCCCTTTGTAGATAGTGAAACTCCTTCCAGTGTGCTGGCACGCTCACCAACTGGGGTGAGGTGGGGGTTCCAGAAAGAGAAAGTGAGTTGCTGGGAGGTTGAGTTTCCCATAGTAACTTGGTCAGTGGGTGGTTGTGCTGAGCCTGGAATATAGTCAAGATAGAGAAAGAGAGAAGTCCTTGGGGAAAGAGGGGGCTGAGGGTGCCCAGCAGGACACCACATCCCATACATCACCTCCCCCCCCCCAGGAGGGTCGTGTAGCCATCACCCGTGTGGCCAACCTTCTGCTGTGTATGTACGCCAAGGAGACCGTGGGCTTCGGAATGCTCAAGGCCAAGGTGTGTATGTGCTCGTCCCTCTACCCTGGGCCTGGTCTTGTGTTCCATCACTGTGCCCACTCCCACCCTCACCTTCCTGGAGTCCTCGTGTCACCCGGTGCATGTCTGATGTGGGCCAACTCTCACATCAGGCCGAGGCTGGGGGCTGGGTGCTCAGCACTGGGAGGAGAGCTGGATTTGGGATCCCTCTAGTGGCAGGCCTTGTGTGGGACTCATTTCTCTTCCCCTCCCGCAGGCCCAGGCCTTGGTGCAGTACCTAGAGGAGCCCCTCACCCAAGTAGCAGCATCATAATGGGCCTTGGTGGAAGTTGGGGTCAGAAAAGATAGATGACCGTTTGGAGGGGTGGCATCCCCTGGGAAAACTGGACTGTGGGGGGAGGAAAAACCTTTGTGTTTTCCACGAATAAACTTTAACTCCTGTCTCGTGTCTTGGCTGCTTTCTGGGATGGGAGGAAGCAGAGGACACAGAAAGGAGCAGGGATTGCTTACAAGATTCTTCATGTTCTACAAGGATGGCTTTCCACCCACTCCTTCACCATGACCTCCAACAACCAAATGGTGTTTGGTGGTGGTGGTGCCTCGGCAACCCCAGCTTCTCCAGCAACGTGACTTCACCTGGCCCCTGCTGCTCAGAGCAGAATCTTACCCACCTGGCTGGCAAAAACTTGGGCGTGAGCTCAGAGGAGCAAGGGGCTGGTGGGGGTCATGGACAAAGAATATAGGGTCCTGGGATTTCAGTGTCCTTCAGTCCCAACTTTGGTGTTGGGGTGCCATTTCTACTCTTGGGGTTGGGAGGGTGCCCCCTAGCTGCCTACAAGGGTCCACCCCTTTCCTCTTCACTCAGGCATTCACATGCTCACCCTCTCTAGATCTTGAAGGTCTTTGCAAGATGGGAGACCTCAGGTCCTGGGGAGGGGCCAGAAGAAGAAACCCAGAGACCCTCATCTCCAGATCTGGCCCCTCACCCCATCTGGCTGTTTCTGCCCCAGGTATCCCACTTCCCAGTATCCTTAGAACAGGTCTGGACAGGCAGCTACTAGCCCTTTTCCCAGAGCTATATGAAGGGACACATCCCAGGGAAGAGGCAGGTGGCAAGTTCCAGCTCCACCCAGAGCGACAAACTGCCCATCCCAGGCCCTGGGCTGTCAGGGAGGAGCAGAAGTTGCTGTATCCAAAATGCAGCTCCCAGAACTACACTGCAGCAGGGTGGCTGGCCTCCCATTAGTCCCAGCCCCTCCCGCCAACAGCCCTTCCTCTGGTGCCCCCACTTATCCCTCACCCACCACCACCAGAGGCTTTCTGCTCCTTGAGAGGTTATTTCTCACTCACTGGTGGCTGCGCCCCCCTGGCCACAGGTCCCAGGAGCCTAGCAATGCACACTCAGTCCTCAGCCAGCCCCTGGAGCCAGCTCTCTGGCTTGCGGGAACCCAGGCTGAGAGCAGACACCCAACCTGTCTAACCTGTCTGACGTCATCATCTCTCCACCCACCTGAGCCCCAGGTCTCCAGCCACCCCGCTCTTCCTGTTCCCAGCTTCCGTCCTCTCAGCTTCCTTACAGCACCCCCGCCTGCTGGAGCCAAGCCTTCCAGGGCCCTGCCTAGCTCAATCCTCTGGCTGCAGTAGTTTCTTTACCCCCAGTGAGAGGAGGGGCAGATCCAGGACTCTTGAGAGCTGAGGGTTTGAAGGCATTGAACCAACGCATAGACCAGTCACCTCTGTCCCCGAAGACTCTTGCACCCTCCATGCAGAGCCAAGATGGGGAACGGAACTGAGGATGATTATAACTTTGTCTTCAAGGGTGAGTTGGGGTCCATAAGGAAAGAGGAAGCCTGAGAGAGACCCAGAAAGAGACCACAGTCTGTTTTCTTATCGCCTACCGGAACCCCCTACGGCTCATCATTCCTGTAGATAAGAAAGCAAGCTGCAGGGAGTGGGGGAGGGTCTGGTTACTGGGGGAAAAGTCCTGGAGCTGCCAGAATGCTCAACAGTTGTAAAAAACATTGTTGATCACCCCTTTATAGTGCTAGTATATAGGCTATTTTGCCTCATTCCTAAGGGAAACCCAAATCCCTAGGAGTAGTCTGCCACTGCAGCACAAGAGATGGAGGTCAGACTTCAGAGAGGACTTCCCTCCTGAGAAGAGGGGCAACAAGCAGACTTTAGAGGAAGAAAGTCATCTTTCTGGGTAGATGTACAGGAAAGGAAAGAAAGGAGAGCTTTATCCCATCGTAGGGCTCCGTGAAGACATAAGGAAGAGGTAATGAATTGGGAGCAGGGTCTAATAGAATCCAGAGAACTTTTAAGGCCATGGCCTCGTCTTCTTTCCCTCAGAAGACCCCTGAGGTCCAAATACCAGGCACTGAATCCAGGCTGTCCCTGGAAGTGGGCATGAATCTTTGTTGTTCCTTTATCTCAGCCCCTGGGTTTGGCCCCACTATTGTTCCCCAGCATGCGGTGCCACCCCCACCCTTGCCTCCATTCCTCCTTCAGGGCGGGGCTGGCTGGCAGAACTGTGGTTCCCTGTCCAGCCACTCCACCCGGCCGCCTCTCCCAGCCTCAGCCCCACCCTCACTTAAGCTGGGACTCCCAGGCACTTGGCTTGGAGAACCTGAACTCCCAGCATGTTTCCCAGGAAGGGGAGACAGGGTAAGGGTTAGCAGGAGTCTGGGACAGTACCGCTGCTAATAACTATCATTTACTGAGCCTCTAGTATATGCCAGCCACTACTTCATCAGTCACTACAGCAACCCCCAAGAAGGTATCTTCCATTCTGAAAGCATCAGGTCAGGAGCCAGACTAGCTGAGTTCAGATCCCAGCTCTGCCACCTACTAGTGATTGCAGGGTGGGGTCTCCAGAAGCAGATACTGAGAAGTTTGGGGTGTAAGGTATTTATTATGCATGAACACTAGTAAAGGAAGGGGGTGGAAACAGCTTTAGAGAGATCTCAAACTGTAGTGCAGGGTCACACAGCCTTGGCCAAGGGCGATCCCCTCACCTTGCTGGGGCACGGGATGCAGGGTGCCCAGGAAAGGCAGGACCTCAGGTGAGGCTGCCCTCTGCACCAGAGGCAGATGCTGAAGGAGCTGTCAGCTGACTGCACTCCCTGCAGCTGGGGGCAAGTCCTCAAAGGCAAATCTGGGCAGCACACCTCCGCTACCCTGGCTGTGTTATATGGTGCAAGTCATTTTAACCCACCATGTGCCTCCTTTTCCTTGTCTGTAAAAGTGGGATGATAATAATAATGTACTTGCCTCATAGCATTATTGTGAGGGTTAAATTAGTTAATATGTATAAAGCCTTTAGGATGGTACCTGGCACATAGTAGGCACTCAATCTATGTCTCCGTTTTATTTATATCTCCACTTTACAGAAAATGATGGGACCGAGTAAGTAGCTTAGAAATGGTCACAAAGTCAGTACTCAAACCCAGGTCTATCTGACTCCAAAGCCCTTGCCCTGAGCACCTTTTGGGCCTAAGGATAGAGCTGGCAGCTCACCCACTGGGAGGGATGAGACGGGGAGGAGGTTCCAGGAGGAGAGGTAGGAACACAAACACACACACACCCATACTTGTCCCAGCTCTTTCCTGCCCTACACAAATAAGCATTTTTTAAGTTAGAGGGGCCTTTACAGATTTTATAAACAAGGAAACTGAGACCTAGAGAAGGTGAGTCACTTGTTCAAGATCACATAGCTAATCAGAGGCGAAGTGGGGACCAGAGCCCAGAAGATGTGGCTCCCGTGGCACCAGCCTGCACTCCCAGAACCACCCTAGGCGGCCTCCTCCGATCCTGGACGCTCATTCAGGGTCTGTGCAATCTGTGGGTCATATGTATATCAGCCCCCACCCATGCCCCTGAACACCAACAACCACAAGCAGCCATAGTCATTCCATCACCAGAAATGCAGGCTGACGTTGCAGCCATGTCTCAACAGCCCAGGCTTAGAACCCTGTAAGCCCCTTGGCTGCCCGGGATGGATGCATTGTGCAGAGATGCAAACCCATCTCTGCTGGGAGACCTGGCTCCCTGCTCAGCTTTCTGAGCTCAGTTCCCTTTTTTGACCGGCAGACTCCCCAAGCTCAGGTGGGCTCGGGGCCACTCTGACCTGAGCTCAGCCCTCATCCCTCTGCTCCTTCAGTGGTGCTGATTGGCGAGTCAGGCGTGGGGAAGACCAATCTGCTATCCCGGTTTACGCGCAATGAGTTCAGCCACGACAGCCGAACCACCATCGGGGTCGAGTTCTCCACCCGCACTGTCCTGCTGGGCACCGCTGCTGTCAAGGCTCAGATCTGGGACACAGCTGGTTTGGAGCGGTACCGAGCCATCACCTCGGCGTGAGCCTGGGGCCAGGGGACTGCTGGGGTGTGGGGCTGCTGGGGAGGTCAGGGCACTCAGCAGTGCGCTCCCTGGTGGACTCACAGGATGCCATGGACCAGCTCAGGAGACCCAGTACTGCGAGCCACACCCAGCCCTACGTAGGACACAGTGATACTGACCACTGGGCCTAAAACCAGGAGTCACTGCCACCACTTCCTAGGCCTTTGCTATATGCCCAGGAAGGTACAAGGCTCTTCACGTTGGGCATTTTCTGTAGTCCCCAAAGTTTCACGAGAGTAAGGTGCTGTAATTCATCCCTGTCTAAGTGCATGGAGCTTGAGGCTCGAGCAGGTGAGATCAGGGTGGAGCTGGGAAGCGGACAGGCCCAGGATCGAGAGTGCCCCTCACTTCTGCACAGTGAGATAAGTTTGCACTTGGCAATCTTCACCATTTAACCACAAACATGAAGGGCTGGACTCCTCAGCTGCATTTTACAAAGACTCAGAGGACAGAGGAATTTAAACCTCCTGACACCACATGCAGAGCCTCTCTCCCAGTCAGTGTCAGGCCAAGTGTAAGGAAGGGGGTCTGTGTGTGTGTGGTGGGAGACAGCAGCTGCCAGGGGACAGGAAGCAAGGGTCAAGGGCGATGGGAGCACACACTCATCACTCTTGGACAGTCACTTGACCTCTTAGGAGGCTCAGCTGACATCAGTACAATGGGAATACTTAGATGTCACCAGTCTAAAGAAGCCCTATCTAATTCCAGGAGTGAGGCTGGATATTTGCAAGGATGTCTCCGATGGTCAACTCAGGGACTGCTATTTATGGGAGGAATTTAGCTGGTCCTAGAAAAATGGCCACAAGAGAAAAGAGGGCACTGTGGATCAAGGAGGCATGTGAGGAAGATCTTGGAGGTAGGGCCTCCAGGAGGCTGATCTTGACCAGAGCCCAGGTATGTGTTGGTGGACAGCAGGGCCTAAAATCAGAACAAAGGCCCTGAGGAAGCAGAGGGGCTAGGCAGGAATGAGAGCGAGTGGTTCTAGAGAAGGGAGGTGAGTCCTGCAGGGGTCCAATACCAGTCTCCCTGGAGGGTTCACAG